AGATGGATTTTAGAGAGTTTGAGTCCACTTGTTAACATTTCTGTTCTTTGTTTCCTCTTTCTACACTGCATAAAATGAAGATAGCGACACTGAACTTGCTCATATCTCTAGTTTTCTTATAAGTGCACAAACACTGTGAAATAAAGATAGACCTTAAGTATATGTTTCCATAGCTCCAAGCAGATGAGGCCATGATCTCCACTGGGGCCAGGAGGCACTGCTGTTATAGAAATGATAATGTTAATGCACTGCCTGTGGGGGTGTTATCTCTCACTGAGAGGGAAAAGATGTATGAAAACTGTCTGGATTACTGTTGTTTTCTTTGTCTGCATGTTTCCGAACTACCTCTCCACACTGTGTAAATGCAGTCCCAATATAATATACTCAGGCAGAAATGACTAGTAAATTCTGTTGACATGTTAACCACAGATCTGCAGCTATCTATTTCTCCTTTTTACTCATAAGTCCTCAAAGTCTGGTAGGGCACCTGCTGATCCCACAGCACTCCCTACCAGTACATCACTGATCAAACCCATGCTGCTGTGCTCCTACAAAGCAGGAAATTGATACTAGTATAGCAAGGGGCAGCAAAGAGGAAATTTCAGCTGTATAGTGAGTTTCTTTGGACCATGGATTAGTTTCCAGATTAATGTTGTAGAAGATCAGTCATTTGATTTATTGAAAAATTGGACTGGATAAAGTCATAGAAAATGCATCAGAGAAGAACTCTCTTCCTGGAGGATGGACTAGGAGAATGATGAGGTTTGCTTGAACTCTGATCCTTACTGATCATTTTCATCTCCTCCTCTCTGAAAACAGGACACTATGTTACAGTTTTTTAGAGGCAGGCTAAAAATTAAAAAAAAATGTGTAAGAATTGGTGAAATTTCTTTTTACTATAACAAGAAAGAAAAAAAAAAAGCTGCCTAGAGCAACTGAGAAAAAAAAAAAGTTTCTGAAAGTGACATGAGCAATAATAAGTTAAGACTCTGTCCACTGGTCTCGTCCAGTGCATTTACTTAGTTATGATTCCACTGGCTGTCAGGGAGTAGCTCCTCATTTACCTCCAGCATAATTTAAAAGGCTCAGTGATAAAGGTGATATGTCTGGGACACATTTTTTACCTACTCAGAATCCATATGCCATTTTTTGATCTCACAATTCAGACTTAACAACATGCATAAACCAGCATAGAGATTAAAGAATGGACCTTATTTAAATCAAAAATAATTGCATCCCTAGCTCAGTATCTTTGTTTGGTGTTATGAATAAAATAACTTCTTACCAGTTAGAGGATAAACTGTATGGCATGAGGAGTAAGGGCAAAGCTTGCCTCTTCCAAAGCAAACCCAGTTCAGACCTAATGTGCAAACTGAGCTTCATTGCTTTCAAAGCAAGCCTGGGGCCCAAGAACGCTCCCAAACTGAAGAACAATAGGGAATGCACTGCATTGTCACTTTTGTGACCTTTCATTCCCTATTGTTCACCTTTGTGACCTGAATTTCTCTCAAGAGAAATCAGTAACTCCAGAGAAGCGTGAGGGCCAAGCTAGTTCTCTGTTACCCAATGTGTCCTACAGTGCAGCTTTGGGAGGGGATAGGGTTTTGGATGCTCAGTTAATGCACCTAATTAAAAATTAATTCACCACAATGCTTAGTATAGGTCAACTGTAATCAAACATGTAAGAGGTTTGCAGTAATTCAACCAAAGATCTAGTGTCGAGGAAAATGGAAGTTAAGGAAACCATCTAATCCTGTCTCCCTCACAGTAAAGAAGTGCCCCCTCATATTCAGCCAGAACCTCCTGTGATTTAGTTTGTGCCCATTGACTCTTGTCCCGTCACTGGACACAGCTGAAAAGAGACCAGCTCCATCCTCTCGACACCCTCCCCTCAGATATATATATATACATCAATGAGGTCTCCCCTCAGTCTCAGGAACAAGTTGCTGGAAATGCAGAGGACCCACCAACACAATAGCACTGTGCAGTCCCAGTGCAGGGGTCATTAAAGAGCCATCACTTGTAGAAATCCATCATGTTTCTTCACTTTTTCTGCCACCTACAAGTTCAGGGATCTCTTTCCAGGTATTCATGGTACGGCATTCCCACTGGTATCATGGATGAGATCCTACAATGCACAGATAGGCAGAGCAGCCATGTAGTTCCTACTCTTCCACAAGAAATGTAAGGGCAGAAGTCTCCTTTTAACTTTTGTATGGCAAAGATTTCACCCAGAGAGCTCTACAATGCCTCTCACAGGTGGGTGGTAAAGCCATCTCTTGCTCCTCTCAGCTTCTCATGAGCTCAGAATGACAACTCAGTTTTCAACCTTCAGTTTTCAGATGAAAAGTGAAAAGTAGGTGACATTAAGCAGAATTGCTTGTCAACCTCTTGTACAAGGACATTTCCTTAAATAGTATTTCCTTGCAGAAATAAAAGGTTCATAAGAAAACAGAAGCATACTGTCAGAAGATACTCTTCCATACCACTAAAAAAAAAATGCCTTAGGGTCAGCAAAGTCCAATATTTTTCAAATTACTCAGAAGAAGTAATCACTTTTCTTACAGATCTACAGCTAGCTAGTAGAAAAATGTATACACAATGAATCCAGACTCTTCTAAGAGACAAAGAATGACAGGACAAAAGGCAATGGACAAATTGCATTATGGAAATCTTCTGTTAGACATATGGAATTCACAAGGATCATCGAGGCCAACTCCTGGCTCCACACAGGACCACCCAAAAATCAGACCCTACATCTGAGAGCACTGTTCAAACACCTCTTAAACTCCAGTACGCTCAGTGCCATGACAACTGCCCTGGGGAGCCTGTCCAACTAGTGCCCAACCAGTGAAGAACCTTTTCTTAACAGCCAGCCTGACCCACCCCTGTCCCAGCTCCATGCCGTTCCCTCAGGTCTTGTCTCTGTCCCCAGAGAGCAGAGCTCAGCGCCTGCCCCTCCACTCCCCTCGTGAGGGAGCTGCAGGCCGCCATGAGGCCTCCCCTTGTCCTGCTCTGCTCTAGGCTGAACAAACCAAGGGACCTCAGCCGCCCCTCATACATCTTCCCCTCTAGGCCTTTCCCTATCTTTGTAGCCCTCCTTTGGACACTCTCTAATCATTTTATGGCCTTCTTATACTGTGGTGCAGTACACACAGTACTTCACACAGTACTTGTGAGGCTGCATCAGCGCAGAACAGAGAAGGACAATCACTTTCCTCAGCTGGCTAGCAATTCTGTGCTTTTATTTGCAACAGGATTAGCTATAGTGATGGCCCTGGATTGCCATCATACTGCTTTAATTTTGCTGTATGAGTAAAGACTGGGAAAACTGAGTGGTATTCAGACCATCTGCCTTGGTTTCCAAAATTCAGGTGGAATTTATTGCCTAGATCCAACAGCACTATTCAGTCTGACTGCTGTCCAGGGTCCCCTAAAACTTTTCAGCACTTACAAATCCAATGGCACCCTTGTGTCAACTGCAGCACTCATTAAACACCTAAACAAGTCTAGGAACAAGCAGGAACCTCCCACCCAAACTCTGTAACATCTCAAAGAAACAAGTGACCCTCTGAGAATCTTTACCTATACAGTACACCTGGAGAATGCTTCATGTATTTAAACAGTATTGACCAAAGGAGGACACCTCTCACATATCAGCTGAAAGATGAGAACCTTTGATGTAATTTGAACCTACCACAAATCAGAGAGATGCTGGAGAAACAAGTATTTTTATAAACACTAATGCACTCGTTCATTATTAATCACAATACTAAGTTTAGAGAATGAAGAGGAAATTTATATCTATTATCTGTGAAAAGTATGAAAGCACTTCTTTGCTCTGATATCTTGTTATAAAAAACTTCAGCTAGATAAGGAGAATGTTACTGCCAGTTTAGCTTACTTCAGGGAGCACTTGAGAAGGGTCAGGATACCCCCCCACTATCTACTCCAGCAAGAACATAGTCACATGGATGCATGGACTCACATAACTTTATGATAATGGCACTAATAACTCAGCTAGCTGTGGTAAAATTTTACTATAGAACATTTCTGGCTAATAAGTAGATCATATTGATTAAGAAATAAAAATGTTAGAAAACCTTTAATAGCCCACTGGAGATATGGGATCAGGCTGGACAACAGGGAAATTATTGATGTAGGCACCCTACTAACATTTCTTCTGAAATTAATCAAAAAGTTTGCCTCTAGCTTTCCAGGGAACAGCAGTAGGTTCAAAATACTATCACATATTAGTCTTCTGTTTTATAACCCTAGAAAACTCATCAGCCTGAAAGTGCTGCTTATGACCTTCTGTCAATGAGAAGCTCCAATTCATAGTGAACAGGAATAATTTCTGGGAAATGCAAAGGCATATTCCAGCTCTAGTTTACGGTTGCTCCCACAAACAGATTTTTGAAAGGGCTGGGGAGCTTTCTTACAAATAGTACTTAACATGTATGCTAAGATAGGGACAGTCAAAATTCTTTCTTCAGGCTATTTGTCCTGGAGTCAGGAAGAAAACTCTTTCCACTCATCATTGCATAACTGGTTACAGGTTATGGTTACTTTTTGGTATTTAGAAGAGTAATCTTCTCTTAGGTTTGATGAACTGCTCAGGGATGCCAAAACCTTTCTCCCATTCATCAACATATACTGCCGTAATTTTTGCAAGAACACTTTGCATTACTAATAAGAAAAAATTAAGAAAACAAGACAGTCCTGCTAGGAAAGGAAGTCCTGGTGTCTTCTCCTATGGAAGTCCCTGTTCATTTGGCTTGATATTGGAAAAAAATAATTTGTCTTGTGAAAAGAGAGATTGCACAGATTCTTGCTGTCAGCACACAGCAAAGCATTGCAATCACCTGTGTCATTCAGGAGCAAAAAAATATCTGACTGGCAGCAAAGGAAGTTTCTTTTGTCTAGTAGTGAAATGTTCTGCCATGACACTTGCTGTAGGCTGCTCTATTATCAAAGTAAAAATTAATTCCTACACGTTGTTAACAAAATAGCATGCCTTTTATTTTGCTTACAAACTGCCAATTACATGATTCACAAGTAATTATTGTATATCACAGTGTTTTTCCTTTCCATATAAAAATAGCTTTTCATTCACAGTGTTTCTTTCCAGATTCCGCAAGATTGTGAGTGCTCAAGCCATCAGATATTCCCCAGTGCTAAGTAATGATTTATAAGCCTTCTGATTTGCTGTGGTCTAAAATGCACTTAGACAGAATATGAACAAAGTCTGAAATTTGGTGTCTCAGCAGAGGTAGAGTTGGACTCTGTCCATGACATCCACTGGGATCACAAAGGTTTCCAAGGATCTGGTTTGCACTTTTGCTTCTGAGCAATCTGGAATGCATTAGACTTTGAGTTGAAACTGGACTGCCTAGAGGAGTTTGTGGCAGGTGAGGCAGGAGTAGTTAAAATGTCCAGAGAAACAGAGGTGAAATTTAAATTTACAGCAAAATCTAGGGCTCCTTCTTAACAGAAAACTACAGAATGTCACAAAATCTCTTTTCCTCAGGACCTGCAGTAAAAATTCTCTAGCAAGGCAATAGTACTGTACTTGGCAGAATGGGGAAAATACCACTCCACTTCTGTCACTGCCCCTGACACATTAGGGCACATCACCACAAAGAATCAGAAAATCTACAGTGCAATCCAGACTAGTCACAAATCACACCATTAATATATTGACATCATTCTCTTTTCTAGCCTTTTGACAACTTTCCTCCTCACAAAAGCAATAGGGAATTTTCATCAGCATTTTTTTGAAACACACACACACAAAAAAAAAGTCTGTTTCTGCATAATCTAAGTTCTTTGGTGAGGAGATTTTCATTTTTCACTGAGACCACTGATGTTGAACATGTTGTTTTGAATTCTTTGGCTGCCTGAGCTGCTGCAGTATCTCTTGAAAGACGCAGTGCAGCTGATTTACCCTGAGGGCTGGATTATGAATTTCATAATTTAGCAATGCCTGAGCTCAGGCTGGAGCATGATGGCACATCCCAAGACGTGGATCTAACAGAACTGAAACTCCCAGTCACTATCTTTTCTTCCCTGGAAAGTGTCCGTCTGTTAAAAAACAATGAAAACCAGTGCAAAATAATCAAATATTGATATCAACAAGATTTCAAATAAAAACTACCAAAACACTTGCATTCCTGGTGGAACTGATAATGAAATGCATTGGTTGAAACTTTAAAAACAAAAGTGGGATTTTCTAAGGGAACAAAACAAACATCAAGTACACACACAAGTAATTCATTAACAAACCATTTCACTACAGGGAGCTGTTGCAGGTAAATATGTATTATAACCAGGTGTCAATATTTTACCAAAGTTATCGTACCATAGGATGAGATGCCATTTGCCAGGGGAATATTATGAAGATAAAGTGGTAGAGGAGAGATCAAAACAGACACTTTCTTCTCCTTCAGAATCCAAACTGTGATCAAAGCCTTTTCTTTGGAAAATGATGAAATAAAACTGAATAGATTCTGAGAGAAAGGAGACGGTTGGCAGGTTGGCAGCAAATCAAGTCTGGGCAGTAACCACAAATGGTCACAGGAGATAATTGCACAGACAGTGATCTGTATCCCCATCAAGGCAGATATTTGATGTATTGTCTCAACAACTGACAGACCTCAGAGTGCTGTCCTTTATACATTTTGGCAAAACTTGTGTCACTTGCCACGTCAATAAAGAATAAATGAGTTGGAAAGAACTGAATCTTTCCAACTTCTCTCTCTTAAGAACCATCATAACAATATATTGGTCATATATACTTTTATAAACTTTATCGGCTTAAGCCACAAAACAAACCAAACAGATAATAGTAAATATTTCTGCTTTCATTCCACAAGGGAGTAACTAGGGCTGAGAGCAGGATATCACTTTTCCAGCTACAGTGTTTTTAAGGGAATCTGGATAAGGTCTGAGTGGGCTTTAGACAGCAGAAGGCAGCTAAGGTAAATACCACACCATGGAAACAATATTTTTGTAGGGTTTTTACTGCAACCCTGGGGATATGAAGGAAGTGCTCTCTCTTGGGGTGAAAGACAAATGCATGAGGAAGTTTGGGCTCTACCAGCAGACTGTTTCTGAGTATATCTATTAGCAACGTAGTGCACAATGTATAGAGTTGTACAAACAACTGCGTATCTGAGATCTTATACCTAATAAATTTATGGTCTTTGGATAAAAATGCTACACATCTCTGAGTGTAACTGCATTGAGATCTGAAGTTAATTCAGTTTTTCTTAGCAATGGTTGATGAATTGCAACTGGCTTAGACCCTGCTGGAAAAGTATTCTCTGTGCTGAGGAGTATTGCAGAGGGTCTGGGGTATACCCATAGGAGCAGACTGCCTCAATTGTTTTGTTTTTTCTCTTATCCTCACTGCAACACTGAAAGGCTTCAACAAGAACAAGTCCCCTATTAAAGTGACGATCATATGAAGGAAGCGTAGTATAAATAAGGAGAGAAAAGTGTAGGGTGAGATTTTTTACAACTGTCTTTTAGAGAAGGATTGAATCAGATGCTCGGACACCTCCATTTCAGTGGCTACACTCATGCATTTGCTTGTACAAAGGTATTTAGAATAATTTGAGACACCTTAAAGGACCTTACTTCTTGGTTACCTGCAGTTGTTGGTTCAGAAGGCCACAAGTTTTCTAACAGGTCTTGTGTCATATTTGCCAAGCCATGCAGATGTCTCAGACATCCTAGAGCCCCTCAGAGACCATATATGACTATGGGTGGGCAATTAAAATGAGCCCTGGATCTTTAAATTCCCCAGCTAAAGAGTGATTCAGCCGGCCAGCTATGGAGTGAGCTGAGGTGAGATGATGTGTGCTCCAGTATCCATTAACTGTATTGACTAGGGACTGGGTTCAGTCCATCGGGATGTCATCTGATATTTTATATACCCTAGAGTGTCTGATACAAAGCCTGATATGATGTAGCATTCACACATTTCTGGAAGAGCAGATGGTAGGAAAGATGGGACATCTCAAATGGTACTGCATGCCTATGTCTGACCAGATGAGATGAACTTTTAATTCTCTAGAGGTGCTTAGAGACTGAGTTGACATGCACTTACCTGACAATGCCTTACTTCAAATGTCTTAGTCTGGAGCTGTATCCCACCCAAAGGGCCCTATTTAGTTTCTAGCTATCAGAATTTAGTACTTTATGAGACATCCTCCAGCTGCCACTTTCAAAAGATGTGTCTTTTGTTGGCTTCATGTCATCCTGCCCAACCCCACACAGATGTCTCGGGCCCCTCAACATCTCAAATTACACTAAAAGCCTCCATCTGGTTAGCTGAGTTGTGGAAATGTCTGTGGTGTGGTTGCCTACACTGACAGCACTAATGATCCAAGGTGTCTTTTATAGCCAATGGATGAAAATTTGATTTTAGGATATGTTCCAGTTGGCTTATTTTAGAGTTTTACTTTAAAATGAGATATATCATAACTAGAGGAGCCAATTTATCTCCATTCATGACAAATGGAAGAGGACTAGCTCAGAAGCAGACATTACACTCAGTCAGCCAAATCCCACCTCTTGGGAGTTGCCCAAACCATAGAGGGAGCTGCAAGCTGAGTTCCATCACAGAGACACAGTCACATCACTGACATTTCTTGGGCTTCTGTGAGTCCTAACCAAGCAATACAACTACCAGTTGCTGAGTTTTAGCTATGAGGCAAGTTCAAATTGAAACCTAAGTGCAAAAGGTTTATGGTGGTGAGTTTTAACATGCACCTGTGGTGGTGTAAGAACATAATCAGAGCTACATGCACTTCAGTACATGGTCAGCAGAGGTACAGCAACAGTGTGCCTAAGCTCAGAGCTGCTATTCTTGCTTTAACCCACCACCACCATTTTTTCAGTTAGTATTGCTAAGCTTTTCCAAGAGGTGCCATGGTAACAGGCACCTTGGAATTCCTTCACAGATTATATAGTGTGCTATGCAAAGGGCTTGGCAGGTTTGCTGCTTTTAATATTCAAAGGGTTATCTTTGAGGTTGCCCATATATTTTCAAATCCTTAAATCCCTTGACACCTGGACACTTTGTATGTAGGTCCAAACACATCATAATTTTGCTCCCAGACTTCAGAAAATCATTTAAAATAGATCAGGCATGAACAGCAAAAGACACCTCTATCAATTCCTCTGGCAGAGAGGTTATGAGATAAGTACAGCTGAAGATAGACAATGAAAAAGAAGCAGAAGCAACCCAAAGTAAAGCATGGCTAAATTGAGGCATCAAGTCAGCAAAAGGAAGTTAGTGGTTTAGTATGAGAATAATGAATGTTGTTTCTAGCTGTGCTTGCTCCTATCTGGCCTTGTTTCATTTAGGTAGGATTAAAGGTTTGTTCTGTGTATTCACAGGAATCACTCCACGTTGTGCCCTGTCCCTTTCACCTCCTCCTCCTTGTACTGCATTCTCCCTCTGCTGCTCTTCATTCTTGTGTAGGGCTAGAGATCGTGGAAGACAGTCACAATAAATTAGATAAAATTTCCCCCCTGAGGCTGTTACAAAAGCAATGATTTATGCAAGCCTAACAAATAGACACTTGGATACCATGGTGATTAGTGCTGCGAAAGAAAAAAAAAAAAAAAAGTTTGTTTTCCCTCTTTTATCTGATTTGTGATTTCTCTGGGGAATGTGTATTTTTGCTTATGCACGTACCATGTGGATAGGCAAGGGCAGAGACATGGTCTTTCTGAAATCCCTTGTGCTCACCTGAATTATGATCAGTATGGAAATTCAGAATAGTCTCAGCCAGCCTCACTTCCACCCTTATTAAGAGTCACAAGCACAGTTCCTGAGTGACAGTCAAATTTCCTGCACCAAATGTATTCTGCTGCTCAGACCTGTGTGGTAAGAGTAAATACTCTGATTTGTTAAGCCAAGCCTTCCACCACTGTCTCTTCCCCTCAACCCTGCCTGGCACTGTTATCTTCCCTGCGGGTTCATTGCCTCCTCTCACAGTCATTGCTGAACCTACTTATCTGCTGCATCAGCAGCTTGGAACAACCTTCTGGATCTTCTTGTCTATCCTCCACGCTTGTGCTTCTTAAGTCTCTCCCAGTAATCCACCTTGGCCACTTTCCTCCTTGCAGAAAAAAAAAAGAAAATAAATAAATAAATAAATAAACAACAAACAACAAAAAAAAAACAACAGCCAGTATTCAGGAGGCTTACTTTCCCTTTCCTATTTCTTTACAATAGGGGACAGACTTCATTTTCAAAGTATATCTGCACAAAAAGTCCCAAATTAAGAATGGGAAAACCTATTTACATCAAGCAATGGATCAAGGTGATGCCAGAGCTGCATCATGAATACATCAGTAACACAGAACAGTTATAGGTCACTTACCAAGAAAAGTATTGCCCATTATTTGGACTCTGGCATCCCTGGAGCCAGCAAGCCCCTTCTCCATTCCCTGAGCAGCCCATTCCAATGCCTAACAACCCTTTTGGTAAAGTTCTTCCTAATATCCAACCTAAACCTTCCCTGGCACAACTTTATTCATGTATGCTCTTTGCCTTTGTAACTGGTCAATAATTTCAATACTTTCTGTTACAGTCCATTCAGCATACATGTATATATATTTACACATATCAGGTATCACCTTTGTGTTTTGGAGCTGTCACACAATAACTGTAACACAGCTGTAACATACTGGAATTAATGGAATAACAGCCTAGCTCAAATCATTTGAGGTTCCTGCAAAACATACTTGAACACTACTGAGGAGGACATGAACCAACTGACTTCAGCACTCCTCAGTTGCACCTACACTTCTCCAGCTAAAGGTGCTATATCATTAGAGGAAAGCTGGTTAGAAGTCAGGTGAGCACCTCTTACCAACAATAGCTAAGGAGATGCTCTCACCTTGCAGAACAAGATGGCAGAATGTCTCAGGACGAAAACTTATTGTACATAAGTTAGTCTTTTTGAGCATTTTTTATATTACTTCTATGCCAGACAAAAGACTCTGGTTTTAAAAAGTACTCCATGGATAACTGCTGAGGAGTACAGGGATTAAATCAGGCAGTTTGATTAAAATCTATTTTTCCATAGGTGTAGACTTACTTCTAAATTGTTTGACAGATTCAGCTTAGTTCTGCAGGAAGCATGTCCTGTATGCATTTACTCCTCATAATAGTTTAGGTAAGAAACCAGACTCAAACTGTAATTACAACACTGAAAAATAGTTCTGCTGTAACATACACTAATACCTATGTAAAGACAGAAACTGCTGGCTTCACTCCAGCTTCAAAACTGACATCAGGCATGAGAAAAAACTTCTGAGTCTCCCAAGGCATTTTCCAGGCTACTAGAGATTTCTGGTCTACCACAACTGTGAAGAAATCCCAGCTTTATAAGAAGAGGCTAATTAGGCCTCACTTTCCATGACACTGATTATCTCCACCTGCCCCCAAAAGAAATGGCTTGCTTAGAGGACAACTCTGAAAATCCTAGTATCCTAGTCTTGAGGATCATCTCCCCACGAAAAGTGCAATGGTTTACTTTTTTTTTTCTTTTTTCCTAAGCAGTGGGTTATATTATATTAATTTGAGTTACTAAGGACTTGACTAAAATCAATGTAAGCTGTACTTCTGTGTAATGATTTCATTCTTATTAAAAACATGCTTTTACTATGTTCATGAAGTTTCTTCTATATATTATACCTTAGAGTCTCTAAAGGGCTCCAAGATGCACAAAGGAAAGGTAACATTTCTCTTTGTTTCCTGTTCTTCTGCAGTAAGTTACTCATCATCATATCGACCTATGTTACGTACCACTATTTCTGCAGTCTGAGCATCGCACAATGCACCTGGGAAGCAGAGAGCAAATTTCTTTCCTATCTACCTACAGAGAATTGAGCTTGGAGGACAGCACTAAGCCCACACTGTACCAGAGCTGGGTCCTGCACTGAGCTCACCAGCTGCTAACCCATGAACCATTCCTCTTCACTCACCCTATAGCTCTCTCCTTATCCCTACAATGTACCTGTCTCAGCTCTAAAGGAAACATAAAAAAGAACATATTATGGGGCTGGAACATCCACAGATCTGGTCACTCCAAGACTAAAAGCAGGCCAGAGCACCCGCTGCTCCTTCCATCCATCTCCATCCATTCTCCACCCATCTTCCAAAGAAGGAAAAGGGCTTCTATAACCCAGAACCACTTCCACAAACATATTTTCAGCAAAGTTTCACCCCTCCATTCAAAGTGCTTTGTTAAGTCAGATACAGGAGTTGATGTTTCAGGGTACCTAAGTGCTAATGCAGTCTGAGTGGTGCGAAATTCTCCTATGGCTGCCAAAGGAGTTGTGTGAAAACCACTACAGTAGAAGAAATATATTGAATGCAGCAGGGAGCAGGAAAGATGAATATGAAGTTCAAACTGAGAGGAAATGTTCCAGTGACAGATTTTAAACTGCACACAGAGCATTTACTCTCCTTCTTTCTTCTTTTGAGACCTCAAAGAAAAAAATCACACTTGATTTTTTATTTCTTTTTTTTTTTTTTTTTTGGCAAAAGCATTATACATGAAAGGAGGCATGACCTACCAAATTTTATAGCTGTCCAGAGCAAAATACCTATATATATATACTCATATAAACATATACTGTATGATAGGGAGACCTCTTGCTGTTTTGTTTTGTTTTGTTTTTTGAATTAAAAAAACCTGTAATACTGTGAAGCATTAAAGCTCTCATCTGGAGATACAGTGAGGAGAGAAAATGAAGAGGGGGAATCTGTAGGCAGATTTCTGACAAAAACTGCTGTTTATATCCAGGCAAGGCTAGTAGGCGAGTGCCAAGATTCCTGTAAGATTTTCCAAACTTGGTGCCCACAGTTTGGCTCCCACATCCATTGCTTGGCACCTTTTTGGAAGCACAGAGCAGCCTGGCTGCACTCTGAGATGTGCAGGGATGAGGCAGCTGACACTGCCGTGCCTGTGCTGGAAACCTCCCTGGACCCATGCCTGCCTCTGTCGCTGTCTTGCATAGATGTGCTTCATTTGGACACTGGGGCTGGTGGCATGAATTAATTTACTTCTACAGTATAAACAGAGAGCAAAACCCAAAATGGGAGGCATAAATGGCTGTACACCACGTCCTGATCAAAGCATCCACACAAATACAGCTCAGTTCTGCAGGATGCTACCAGATGGAGACTATGGTAATTTTAGAGGAAAAAGAAAAAAAAAAATCATTTTGCAAGTTGGGTGCGTACATTTATGTTTGCATTTGGCAGAGCTGCAGACCTTATCAGTCTAAAATGCTCCACCTAGAGTGGCACTCCTCAAAAATAAGCCTTTGCTTCTATCTTCCCACTGCCCACTCTTTACTAGAGCTGAGAGCTTGCCTGGGGTTTGGGGCGGTGGAGCCATCCACCTCCTGCAACATGAAGAAGAAAACAGTTTTCCTAACAGAAAGAGGAAATTCAAGAAGGTTGAGAGGAATGTGCAGGGCATAGCACTTTTAGCCACCTCCCCACCTGGCTAACCCAGTGTTTTCCAGGTCTGGTTCCATTCAACTATTTGTAACATTTCTGTTGGTCTCAGATAGAAGGCAAAACACCTCTGTCACCGAGTTTTCCCGAATAAGTTGTTCACAGAGGATCCCACCCATTTGCATGCAACAAACACCCATGTCTGTAATTTAATTGAACTATTTTTTTCTCCCAAAGGTTAAAAAGCAAAAACCAAAACAATAAAGATTATTTCTATAATCAAACACTCACAAGAGTCTCAGGTGGCACGTTAAGTACTTTGAGAGACAGGCAGGCTGCATCTGAAATTGTTCTGATACCATGCCCACAGCAATGCCTTCAAGCTTGAATTTCCTGGCCATTTTCACCACCTAGCCTTTAGGTCCAGCTGTGCCCATATCCTGAGTCTGCTCTGGCCAGGTTACCAAGGGAGGCCTCAGCAATAGTCACCATTACCTGGCCAGCCCCACCCCTTGTTCAGGCAGTCCACCAGCAACAGACACCTCGGTAAGGACACTACAGGCTGAATAGGGTACCTAGTCCAAAATTGTGGGAGCAGTCCCACAGGACCAAGGGCAGTGCAGTGGGTAAGAGAAGAAGCACCCCTGCCTTGGGCAGGAGATGCTTCAAGGAGTCCTCAGTAAGAGCATAATATAAGAAATAAAAACCTGTTCTGATCAGTAAAGAAACATTCCATGTGACACAGTAAAATAGGGAAAAAAATCATAATAATAAAAAAAAATAAAACAAAAGTCACTCCAAGACTGGTAGGAGCCAAATGGAGACATGAGATATTCCCTGCCTTGGGTCCTAGTGCAGAGTCAACAACACACATGACCTTCCACTTCTCTGAGTCATAAGAAATCACAAGGGCTCATGTCACAGATGATTCCTTCCAGGACATTCAGACTTCTGGAGATCTGTGTCACCATGAGGATTCCCACACCTGAGCATCACAGAGCCAACATCATTCTAAACCCCACAGGCATCCAAAACCCCAGTGCAGCAGCAAGCTTCTCTCACCTACACTTTCATGCCCAATGTGACAGTTGAGTGGCTGTGTCCACCTGGCAGACAACACCATGCTCCTTGCCATATTCAGTGCTAATGCAGCCCTCTGACTGCACTCAGAGATAATGGCTATGACAAAAGGACACACAGGGATGACTCTTACCAGCTTCTGCAGTGTTGCTGCCTTCAGATATGAAATGGCCTAAACAAGATCCAGCCCTGGGTCTCTAGTGGCATGAGTACACAGGGTTACATTATGGTCAGAAGCATAAAGGCTGTGCCTTATTCTAAGATTTCTGAGTTTAGGCAAGAAGTGCTGAGATGTCTACATTCAAATGTGGTGCTTCCTGCTACATGCTGAGACAAGGACAGGAGCTGGGAGCTCAGTGTAACAACAGGGAAAATCCCTTCTCCACCAGTGGCTTCAACCCACAGAATCCGTGGCCACTTCTTCCTTCCTTCCCTACACTGGAAACCTGCCACGAGATGGTAAAGGCACTGTACCAGTGTTGTGAAGATATACACTTTTTGCTGCAAAGCTTTCAAGGCGCATGCGGAAACCCAAGTGTCTGACCAGTTGGCATTTGTGAAGTTGAGATTTACAGAAATAATCTGTTAGGAAAAGCAGAAAAGGAAAATGCTTTCTAATTTTATCTGAATACACATGAAAGGGAATGGATCCTGGTTAATAAGAGATCACAAGGGAGCACCGAGGAGATTTAAGTCATGATTTGCCCCCGAATCCAGCAGAGACCGTCTCATCACAAAACAGCATTTGATGTAGCAGAGAGGGCTACTAAAAGCAGATGTTTGGTAGCATGGGTCAGTCTGTACTGGAGACTGCTCACAACCGAGTGGGTTCATCATACCTGTCATTAAAAATCACAGCAGGTCCCCAAAACAGCTTCAAAATAATCCAATCTCACCTTTCTTGGAGATCATCCCTAGACCTTTTCCTAACATCTGCCCTTCGTCTTCCTGTCATGAGTTTGGCAGCAGGCTGCAGCTTGGCTTTTCTGACCAGTTCTGCTCTTTGCCATTGTGTATGTCCCTCCAAGGTAAATCCAGACTCAGATGACCTGGGCTTGATTCAGTTGCTGCATATAGGCGTTGTTTATCGTTTTTACATGCCCTGAGGTATCTGAAGCATCCCTATAGAGGTGCTATATATGTTACAGAACCAAACAGTGGCACATTCCCTTCCGCAGTGGCAGAGAAAGGCTGGAGAGCAGACTCCAAGAAACTCCAGTGGCACAGGATGCTTGTGTTTAGGAAGCTGAGTCACATCCCACATCTGTGCTGCTTATAATAGGAACTTAGGCCCTGGTCACATGAAGGCAGATGCATTTAAGGCCCCTGTCATTAAAATGATGGTACTCTATTTATGTAGCACCTGCGAGAATGTAGATGAAAAAGATGTTATCAGACTGAAACAAGTGGTCTGACATTCTCCACTGTTTCTGGTTTTCCCTCCTCCCACCCTGTGTCTGAGCATCAGCAAGTCTGAGCAGGATAACAAAGGGCTGTCCTATTTACCATCTGTGCAGGAGAAATGCTGTGAACCTTTGATTAAATGGGAACTGCAAAGTATGACATAGTTCTTGCATGTAGTTACCAGGGAGAACATTAACTGCTCAACTATGAGTTAAATGATAATGAAGCTGCACTGAATTTCAGGACTAGAAAATGGATTGCCTGTTGCTGTTGCTGGCTTCTTGGCTGCTATTATCAAAATGTTGCATTTTTAGACATTATTAATGCCAAATACTTTCATTTTCCTCCTATACCTTTTCTCTTCCATTATATTTCTGTTTACTAAGGGCAGCTGCCTTACACATTTTAAAAGCAGCAAAATAATCACAAAGTGGTGCAGCTGTTTCTTCCATTTCCCTCTCCAAGCTGGACCTCTGAGCTGCTCATCCTTGCCTCCATTACCCTCAGTGTCCCTTATTTTCCTCCTGAACTGGAAGAAAATGACATTTTACTGCTATCTTTATCACTCCCCCAGTAGAACAGAAGATCTCTGTGGGCATTGGTATTTTCTGTGTCCATGTAACTGAAGTCAGGGAGCACCCTGATTTTTTGGGTAAGGACTCAGGCAGCAAACT